TGAGACTCTAAGTTCTTACCACTGAGGTTTATGGTTACACAACATTTGTGTTAATGATCTTAGTTTTGTTTAGCACGTGCTAAATGAGACCTAAAATCCAACACAAATAATGGATTGACGGTGAATAATAACATGTTCTAGTTATCACCCACGTTTTAACGAATTCCCTTTGTTGGAATGTACCAAGAAATCATGTTTTTCATCTTTGAGAGATCTTTATGAAATTGTCTAAATAGCAAGACTTTTGTTCCCAAAAGATCCATTTTGTTTTGTTTTTGAGATTTCTACCAAAATCACCAAGTCACTAAAAATTATTCAAACCTACTTGTTTTATAGGCCACATCGATCTCACAGGTATTTCATTCAAGTTTCGGTCTTATGTCAAGGGATGAAGTTCGGTTGAAGCTAGGCCACCCTTTATAGCCCAAATTTGAAAAGATGTCGTTCAATGTTTCTTAATAAACATTTGATCGTAATTCAACGGGAAACCACACTGTAACATCCCGTTTAAATGGAGTAATTAAATAATAAATAAGGAATCCCGGGAAATAATTAATATGATTATTTTATGCTAGTATAGCCCAAGATCGAATAATAATAAGTGGGTTGTTGGTTTCGAGGAGCCAAATGGCAAGATTTGAATCTTCAGGGGTTAAAGTGTAATTTCGGGATTTATTATGCAAAGGATTTTTGAAGACAATGGTTTTTTGGTAAATGTTGGGCTTAGATTGAAAAGATTTGTAGGAGCATGGGTTAAATAGTAAATTATGGATCTAACATGAAAGGATTTTCAAAAGGTGAGGTCTAATTGGTAAATTTGGGATTTGTTTTGAAAAGAATATGGCAAGGAGGGACCATTTGTGTTATTATGGGAAAAGATGGTGGGAACCGGGTATATAGTCTCATTACCTATCTAACCCTAACCCTAAACCGATGCTTATGATACAGCCGTCACCCCTACCTCCCACCAGCCGCCACCGTTCGTTGAAGATGCTCCATTCGTTATTAAGGCACCGCCGACGTCAAGCCGAGAACCACCATCGTTGTCGTTGATGTTGAAGATCTAGTCGCCAGTGGATGTTAGGCCATTTTTATTGCGGTGAATTGTTTCCATGACTGCCTACTAATGCCACCATCCGCTTCTTCTGCTACCCCGTCGTCAGCCACGACCACTCCGCCACCGCCTAACACCATCTAAGAACGCACCGATGCTGCTCTATTGCCATCAAGAGACGAACCGCCATATCCTCCTTCTTCTATCCTCTGCGGCCACTTCCAGATACTATGGGTAGTGAAGAACTCCTTGTGGGATGTCGGAGATTGTAGGATGAGAGGCTAGACTGGAGTTGTGGTCATTTGAAGGACAAGTCGAACCTGCTTATGCCAGGTGTCGTTGCGGTCGTCTGCCACCGCTGTTAATTTTGATTGTGGCCATTACAGTTGTTCCTGCCATCATCACGTGCCACCAGGTGGGTGGCTGAGTTTTCTCGCAAGCAGAGAGTGTGTGTCGTGTGTGTAGTGGTCCTCGCCGGAGTCACAAGAAGGGCCACCACCACCACCGTGAGTGGTGGCTGCCACTCCCTACCGCTACTTGCCACCATGAGGTGGCTGTATATTCTATTTGGGTGTATTATTTTGTTGGGTATGTGTATTGTTTTAATTTGTAACCGGAATGACAATAGAAAAACTTGAAACCACCACCGTAAGGTGGTGACTGCCGCCACCGGCCGCCATGCATGTCGGTTGGCTGTGTGCTTTGATTGTGTTTAGACCTCGTTTGGCGATGTTTGGACAATGTGGGACCAATGGAACCCTAATGGGCCAATAAGGCCCAATGTGACCTAAAAGCCCAACCAATGGACTAATGAACTAGTATTGGGTTGGAAAACCCTAAGGGCATAAAACCCTAATTGTGGAAATTGATCAGGACACACACACAGGAATTATTTAATAAACTTGAAATATTAAATAATAATCATTGGCAAACTATCTTAAGGAAATAATAGACTTAATGGATTAAGTCCTTAATGAGTTAAGTAACAAACACTTAACCCAAATCATCATTTCATGTGAAAACCCTAATTTTAGGATTATGGGCTTGGACTTATCAGGACTCACATTTGGGCCATCGAAATGGAATTGTTTATTAAGCCAATCACGCCATATGACTTAGTTACTTAAGTAAGGGACTTAATGGATTAAGTCCTTAATGGGTTAAGTGAGAAACACTTAACCCTAATCGTCATTTCATGTGAAAACCCCATTTCACTTGGGCCTTGAGTTGGGCCTTTCCTTTGGGCTTTGGTAATTAGATTATTAATGGGCCATCCAAGAATAATCATTCTGACACGAATATATTGATGGGCTTAGGGTAAGGCCCATATGAGGGTGTGGGATCAATTTGGAAAATTGGGTCGTAGATGGGCCATAATTTGGGCCTTGATGACTATATGATATTAGGCCTTTGGAAATGGCAAATGCTTGGACTGGACTAAGTAGTTGGGCCTTTAATTATGACCATGTAAAGGTTTGGGCCCAATTTGGAAAATTGGGCCATATGTTGGGCTTTTGCCCATTGCTTGACTATTGGGCCTTTAGAGTGTGAGTTGGACCTTGGGCTTGGAACCCAATTAGTAATTGGGTATTGTTTGATGTTAGCAGTTCGGAAATCTGTCAACCAGCAGCTGCAGTTTCTTCCGCGGGACTTCAGTAGTGCCAAATAAGTTATCCTCACTATACTCAAGGGTCTAAGGCACCAAGGTCGGCCCTTTGGATTGTTTCCTGGTTATGTCATGTTCGTATGATCTATTAGATCGGTATCCTAGAGGGTAGGATAATATTACGTGCTATGTGTTGATCTGTTAGATCGGTATCCTGATAGATAGGATGGTATTATGTACATATGTGGTATGATCTGGTAGATCCGTTGTTGTCTATAGACTGTTATGTGATTATTTGTTATATATATGTGCACATATTTGTTTGGCGGTTGAGGTTTATCTGCTTTGTGCGGAGGCCAATTGACCTGTGTATTCTAACATGTTGGTTGAGGGCAGTGAGTATTCCATCCCGAGGATGATTGGACTCATAGTATGTTGGCATTCCAACCTGTTGGTCGTGGGCGTAGGGTATTCCAACCTGATGGTTGACTGGACCCATAGTATACTGTTTATGATTATATGTGTATTGTTGTGGGTATGGATATTTTGGGGGAACTCACTAAGCTTTGTGCTTACAGTTTTAGTTTATTGTTTCAGGTGCTTCAGATGACTTGCCAAGGCGAAGGCATGACCGTACACATCCTCGTGTTTTGGACTTATGGTTTCTGGGATACTCTAATATTAAACTATTTTGAAAACATTTGCAAAAACTAATGGCTTTTGGATGTTTGAAAAAGTTTTAAATTGGCTTGAATTTTTCGAGTGTCACACACACAGACACTTCTAAGTTTCTCTTGACTTTGAAGGAAGCGATTCTTGCCCGAGATCCACAGTTTCGTGTCTATCTAGACATCACTTAAATCCCACAAATAATTTGTTTTATTTCTTTTTTATTGGCACACTCTTGCATAAAGATCTTTATGATTTTCTCAACTCTTGTTCGTGGAGCTTATGGCAAATTTACAGAATTGATGTTTCGGTTGTCGCTCCTTGGAGGTATTCTAAATTAAGGAGCAAAACTCGACAGCTTTTAAAGCGAACGCATCTGTATCCCTTTGTGATGAAATTTGAAACATTTTGTAAAGATGAAAAAATGGTAACAATATAATATTTCAAGCCGAGTCATTGTTAAAGAATTGCAACAGGCGCGTGAATTTGTAACGGTTCTTAATCCCACGCCTGATGACGTATATCTAGGGAAACCAAGATGTCAAATCACGCTTTTTCAGGCGCCGATATGGCGGATCGTATCATCATGACACCAAATTCTTTCTCTCTCTTAGGAGCGGTATATAAGGGTTTCTCACACCTATTGTAGTTCTTTACCAATTCCAAAATTTCTCAAGAATACAGTAGGAAATTTTCAACTTTTCATCTTCTTACTTCCAACAACAATGGCAGAATCATCCTCCGTTCAAGAACAAACCGCTTCATCTTCTATTCTGACCATCAAACCCAATCAAAATCTCATTATCAAACTGAATCCCTTCCTCTATGATTCGTACATGCTACATGTGGTCGAATGTCTCAAATATTCACCGCTAGTGATTAATCTAACCCAGGTTGAATTTGTACCAATGTCGCTTCTATCTCAAGTTTATTCATCTTCTTCATACGATAAACACAAGGAGAGGATCTGCTTTGAGATATTAAATCACAAGTCCTCTATTTCAAAAGCACGTTTTTATTCTCTGTTAGGGCTTTCTTCAGATGCCTCTGTCATCTCTCCTTATTTTATCACCACCACTCAGTTATTTACAATGTTCTATGACATGGGTTACACAGATGTACTTACCATGATAACAAAGTTTAAGAAGTCTTGTTTACCTTCTCAGTGGAATGGTGTTTTCACTCTTATCTTCACAGGATTAGCTGAACGGGTTGATTGGTCTGATGGGGCTAGCAAGGGATTTATGACCCTTCTTTATAGTTTACCATGGGATCAATCTCGATTATGGTTCCTTAATTTGGTCTCAACTGGTGCAGAGCCTCAATTCTTCGTCCAAATACTCCGAAATTTCTTGTGGACACTTCTGGACGTTGGTTACTCATAGATCCATTAAGCACTTTCAGATTCCAATCATGGCGGATGCTCTAAAATCTTCAATCTCCACTTTCCACAGCACGAAGATCATTGTTTTGATCCCACAAGATTCGCATTCATCGATTCTATTACATAATCGATGTACAGATGTGTTTCAGGTGAAATCCATGTTATGGATGATTACAGGAAACTGACACCAACAGGGCCAAGGCAACTCACTACTGAAATGAAAAGTGCGTTGGAGGTTTTCGATAAACCAGCAAAAAGGGGCAAGAAACCAGATCATAAGAAGAAGGATGCAGAAGGCCAATCTTCCCAAGTGGCCATGCCTAAAAAGTGAAAAGCAGAAAAAGAACCTTCTACTGTCCAAAAGAAGCAAAAGATTAAAAATATGGCCAAGAAATCTAAAGTTGCCTCTTCTAGTGATTCGGATTATGTTCCATCATATCACAACCAAGCGAAGTCCACTGAAGCCGAACATGTTCATCTTGAAAGCTCACCATGAAGAAATTCACCTCCTTGGTCCCCAACTCCTGAGGTAAGGTTACACGAATCTGTTCCAACTCCTCCTCTTTCTCCATCTCATACTACAGTGCATGTTTCAACTACACCACTTCCACCACTGATTACTTCTCAACCTATTTCAACTCCACCTACAACTTCAATTATTCCTCTTCCACCTCCAATCATCACATAAGAAACCACCACAACCACTACAACCGAACCTCCCGTTGTTGTCAACGTATCTAATACGGGGGCATCTACCGAAGGTCTCAACATCCTAATTATTTTAAAACCTTTATCCCCACCTCCCTCAACCGAATATGACATGGTCCTTAGTGGAGCCGATATGGAGTTTGACTCTATGTACTTCAGTCCATATCATGTTCTAAGTGATGAGGATGACGATTATCCCTTTACTAAGCGGCACTTCAAGGATCTTAATGCAAAACTTGACAAGTTGCTTGCTTCAACCTCTTCTTCCTCCTCATCAGCTTATGCTGACGCTGCTATCAAAGCCCTAATTGAAACATCCATTCAGCAGCCTGATGAGTGTATCAAACAAGCGACCATGGCCGTCCTTGCTTCTTCTTTTTCTTGTAAGAATGCTTCTGATAATGTGGCAAAAATTATTGAAGATGCCCAGACTTTTCATGATTCTCTTAAGGTAGCTACTGAGTCTAATGCTAACAAGGTCAATTCTGCAATTGATTCTCTTTCAAAGTCTCTTCAAGGTGAGCAAAAAAAGTTTGAGATGGTGCATGATTCTCTGAAGGCTTATCAGACTACATTTTTGTCCTCCATCTCCTCTCGCCTTGAAAAGCTACAAGACGATCTCGCCCTGGAGAACAAACTTAGAGATGAGCTGGCTCTCAGCACATCTCAGGTCCAAACTCTAGCTCAGCAGCTCACCCAGCTTCAAAAGGAAACGATAAGCTCAAATTAGAGCGAGTTGTCATCCAGAGCAACGTTGGTGTCGTGCATTCTATTCTTTTGCATCTTTTCGACGCACATGATTTGGTTCTTACAATCACAACTCGCCGTCACCTGGCTGAGAAGTTGAGATTGGCTCTAGACATCCTAAGCAGGATTGAGGGTGTTCCGGAGTCTGTTCTCCCTCCAAAACAAGGGGCAGATATTTTTGTCCAACGAAAAGTCACAGATGACCCGAAGGTTAATGTAGCTTAAGTCAGTTTGAAGGAAAAACAAAAGAAGAAAGCTAACGATGAAGATAATGTAATCATTCAAGATGTAATTGAAGGTGAATCCTCCGAACCTGAAAATCCAAAACTCAAACACAATAATCAAGAGCTCACGGAGAAGCTTAAAAAGGCGGATCAAGACATTGAAAGAGAGAATAAGGAAAAAGAAGTGAATGATGCCTTGGAACGAAGGAAATCCTTATTCCCTTTGTGGACGATAGAAAGTCTATTGAAAGAGGCAATCGAATCTTCGAGCACACAATACCTCACATTGAGTAATGAGAAGATCACGACAGTGAAGGTTGATTGAGACTTACTTGAATTTTATCTTACTTTCTCTCAACCGCAATACCTCACATTGAGTAATGAGAAGATCACAATAGTGAAGGTGTTGAAACCCACTTCGTCAGGGAAGTTTATAAACGTCAAATTCAAGGTGACACGAGGCTCAAACAGCTCGGTTCATGAGATCTCCCTCGCTGACCTACCGAATTTAAATCCTCATGATTGGATTCTTCTGAACAACATTTTGCTAACCAATCAACAAGATTACAGGCCTATCATTGATCACATTAAGCGGATGTTGGTGCGTTATATTCTTGAAGCATCGAAGATGGATCAGGAGGTCGCCTCTGCCATAAGAAATAAGCCCATTATAAAGCCAATTGGGAAGGCAAGCGACATGAATGTGATGATCAAAGGGAAAATTGATCCACAATTTTACACAATTTTGTTCACCAGGGGCGAAGGTCAAAGATGTTTGTTCGCTCTTGCTGATAAACACTTGTTCTCCACCACATGCTTAGAGCACATTCTTGAAATTATATACAGGTGTGATCAGAACAGTGATGCAGACAAGAAGTTATTTTCGAACATGCTTAGATGGTATATTCATTTTTTTCAAACTCTTCTTGCCATTATACTGAAGTTGTTCAACACTGTGAAGTCATCTCCTATCACTCAACCGAACTGATCTCTCGCCTCAATTGGCGCAAAGGGGGGGGGGAGATTGTTGAGTTTAAAGGGTTGCACCATTGGGCCTTGGTAGTTCGTTCCATTTTGTACTCACGGTTTGGGCCTGTCCAGCCGTGTTTTGTTTTAGCGTTTACATATATATAGTGCATACATGCATTATATTAATTACACTTTTGATTATTATTTTGGAGATTAAGTATTGTAACCCTAACACACCTCTATAGTAGCAATTCACATTGAATTCTTCTGAGGTGGAGCATATTAATCACTCGACACTCATTTGATTCATCATTCTGTTTCACATATTTTATTACACGTTATTCTTTTCTTGATATCTGTATGAATCTATCGATCTTATAGAAAATAATTATCATCATTTGTCATTAACATACGTTCTTTTTCAATTCTTCATCTGATGATACCTCTTCGTCAACCCACTCTTCACCTTCAGCAACAAGAACTTTAGACTCTAGATTTTTCCTTTTCAAAGAAGCCACTAAGCGCTTGTACTTAGTTTCATAAGATTCTTCCTTTTGATTGTTCCTCTTAACTTTTACCTGAGCAAAGTGATCAGCTCCTCAACAACTAAAGCATTTACCTTCATACTTTTTAGAGCTACCAGTGTCAAATCTTTTAGACGTTGATGAGCTTGACTTTGTAGGAAATTTTCTTGTTCCTCCAAACTTCTTGTTATCAAACTTCTCAAAGCGATTCACAATCATAGCAACACTTGTCTAAAGCTCGGTATTGTACTTTTCCTCAGAATCAGCATTATCATATTTATCACTGTCACTATCAAGGAAAAGGCTTCACTTTCTAATGAAGAGTGTAGACGAATTTTCCTTGAAGTTGTCCTTCGTTATCTCTTTCCTCAGAACCTTTGTTTCTTCAAAACAAATTTTAGATTTCCATACATGTTGTGAAGATCCATAGAATGAATTTTCCCACTGTTCTTAAGCACATCCACATGATGTTCTCATTTTTCGTCAAGAGAATCTAGAAACTTTAGAACTAAGACAAATTCATGTTTAAAAATATCAAACCTTCTCATATCATTAATTAAACAATTAAAGTGATTAAAGGTGTGATTAAGAGATTCATTCCTTTGAGAAAAGAAGTGTTTATACTTCCGGTTGAGACTGATTTCCATGGTTGCTTTCACTTCTTTAGTTCCTTCATATGTTACAGTCAGCGTGTCAATCATCCCTTTAGCATAGATATAGTTCTGAATAAGGTGGTAGATATCATAGGGAAGAGAATTTCTTATCACAACGCGAGCACGGACATCAAGATTGTATAAATGCTTGTCATATTCACTAAACAAATGTTTAGGAGTCTTCTTAATGACACCAGTTTTAACACCGTCTTTTTTTCATCACAAGGTAGGAATATGTGGACCATTATCAGTGATGTACATCATATTATGATCCATGGTTTCAATAACAATCATGGCTTTAGTTTTCCACATGGCAAAGTTTTTCTCATCGAATAAAGGGATTTTGTTTCTAAAAGTGGTTCTAGAAAGGAGTTTAGATTCAGAAAAAGAAGCTGATGATGAAGATGGTTTCGGAATTAATTTAAAGGAGCACCCACTCTGATACCAACTGAAGGATCATAATAGAGCAGTTCATATCAAGCAATGCAAAGAATAAAGAACAAAGATAATTTTGATGAACGAAATCTCTAACACATAGAGAATACACCAAGCATTATTTACATTGATACCTAGTGTACCTTATATACTAGGTATAAGACTATTCTAGGGTCAAAACCCTACATATCAGGAATTTGAATAACTATAATAACTACCTTATATAAAATATATACATAATATAAAACAGATCCAATCACTAAGATAACAGATTGGTAAGCTTAACGGACAAGAAACATATCATGTTGTCTTGAAACTTGATCGTCGCCAGATGTTGTTGATGATGTAATCAACGTAATATAGATTTGACTCATCAGATTATAAGGTTTGACCTTACAAACCCTTAGTCTATCTATCAACATAGATTTTCAACATTTCAATATGATAAATACGGTTATTTATCGCACGGCTAGCTACTAGAATTTACGATTTATTAAGCCATAATCTATCAAACACCATTGTTTATTAATCTAGTATTAGTTAAACACAATTATCTATCACACCAAGTTATTAAATAACTTCACTAGCTATTTATCAACAATCCAATATTAATATTAATTAACACCAATACATTTGTTTCTGTACAGACCGTTATAAGGCTCACCACTACACCAAAATTTATCACAAGATACCCCTGTATGTGACATAGACTTTTCACCAATTAATATCACAAAGTGAATATTATGTATAACACCATAAAACACATTATACCTAAAAATATTCAATATCTTTTGCACCTTATTCATAGATAATACCATAAGCATCGTATCATATATTACACATCTTTGGATATACATCATCAAAAACTAATATATTATATAACAAATATTTTTATAACATTCAACACAGAGATTTACATATAAACTAATACACTATACCAAAATCATAACACAATAATCACTATATATCTATATATCAATTATCAAGAAAATAAGTATGGCAACTCACCTTATGAAAGCTTGAATAAATGATACTCCAATCTTCCAACCTCTTTGCTTTGTCCTTCTACTTCAATCACTAAAAATAAAATTTATATATAAGTGTTATCACCCCATGTACAACTCAACAATACATACCTATATTCACACTTATCACCCATATTCTAGTTATGCTCCATGATTAAGTCATTTATATGACTTAATCCATCAAGACAATACTCATTCGTACATAGTTACAACTCACTAATACACAATATACAAATTTCTAAAGCACAACTTAATACCACGACTTAATCCATTAAGCCAAAAGTAATTATACACCATAAATATGTTATCCATATCACCTAATTTACCCAAGTATCACTTCAATATCAACATAATTGATCCATAAATTGGGGTTTTTTATTCATCGTCCTCCGCCTCCAGAATTCAACCATGGTTTTTTTACATATAAAGCTTGTAAACAAGTAATTGACACTCCTTTGTTCTTATTTACCATGCATTTCACTGTGCAAGAACATATAACACTCTAGGTTCGTAAACCCTTCACTAGTTCCACCATGAAATCAACAAAACTTCATGAGAATTAAATAATACCTTTTAATTCAAGTAGATGATGATAAATTCTTGTTTCATGACTTTGAAATCACATGATTCCCTTCATGTTTGAGCTCCATCACTCTAAGGATCGTTCTCGCTGCTCACTGGAAGTGTAGGTATGAAAAATGGGATAAATTTGAGACTTGACCTTTAATACTCATATTATTATTTTTATCAGGTCCGTAAACGTGTCACGTTCTCACTTTCACTTTTGTCTCAACTTCATATAGCCATATATTTATAATTTGAACTTGGATTTTAATGATCTTTATATCAAAATGTTCATATTTGAGTCAACTACAACTTTCTTTTAGATTTCATCAGTTAAAATGTATTATATTTTTACTTATAATCTAATAAACAAAAGGGTATATCTTATTCTTCCTCCAAAACTACACACCCACACATACTTTACATTCACCCTTTCATATATTCAAGTAAAATATTTATCTTAACCTTTTATTCAACATATAAAAGTATAACACCCATCTTAATATTATTAGTTAAGAGAAACAGGTGTTACATACAGAAATCTTTATATAACCACTATGGGTTCCCAAACATATTTAGAAGAGTGTTTTAACATACAGAACCCATTGCCTAATCCGTTAAGGTATCAATATCAACTTAGAATCCTAGTATCCCTTAAACTCTAATTAAAGGGATTTATTGCTTAACTTTATAATAGAACTACATACTAGCAATATGATCTATTCCAAAGGTCGTTTCATATTCAAATGAATGCTTCCAAACAAATAATATCATGATAACTCATATTCTAAATTATTTTAGGCTCTTAATATAACTATACATTTACCAACTTTAATCCATAGTTTCCCAAATTTCCCTTATGGCAAATAGTCCTTGGAATCACTTATGAATCTAGTAACTGTAACACCCCATTTTAACTTTATAGTACAAACGACCAGTTATGCAAATAGACATTTTTGATAGAGGACTATTTAGGATAAATAGTCTAGAAAAAGGTCATAGTAGTCGTAAAAGCGAGAGCGTACACATTTAGAATGTCAAAATCTGACTTCGTATGAGGAAGTTGTGATTTTTAGATGTTTTAGCGCAGCAATTTACGACACAGAAACCGAAATAGAAATCAGTACATTATTAGGAAATACAATCTAAACGAGA